AAATCATTCAACAACAAAAGCAGATTTTTGTTTGGTTTATAGTTTAAACCTTCTTCTTGATTTCTAGGAGCCACAGTTTTTGTCACTCCTTGGAACCTGTCATGACGTTGAAGAGCAGCCCCATCCCCTTTCAACGTTACATTTGAAGAACATCGTAAGTGGCGCATTCCCCGAGAATCCCCTACAGGTGAGTCAATTTGTTTCCTCAAGTACCCAGCATATACAAAAGCAGTTGAAAGTATAATGATGGGGACAAATATCTTGCTTTATTATCTTTCCCATGTGTTAAAACTGGAGTATTAGTTTGAAACAAACCGGGACAATCTACAGCTAATTATTCTATGAGTAATTATAGGGAGATGACTAATCCCTCTCTCTCTCTCATCTGAAATAGTCCACTGTATTACCATCCCTTTTCGCGTCAAATTTTTCATCGTATACTGCAATTTAATCCGCAAACCCTAGTCCCGTGATAATTGATTCAATGGAGGAGTATCGCCTCCTGCCCGTTGCAAACCCTGGGCTAATGGGGTTGTAAACACCGGATCCACAACACCGATTTTGAATTGTTTCTCTTGGGTAGAACTATAATCTGCGTGGACTACCGGTAGTGTTCGACACTCATTGTCTTAGGACCATAGCTCGTGTCGGTAGGCGTCGGATAATTCGTAACCAGACTATTAGAAAGTGAGTTTTCAGTTGTGCAACGGAAATTCTCATTGAAGAATGCGTCCCGGAACGGAAGGTGTGTTGGTTAGGCCGTGTGTTGCGTATGCCTAGCCATCGTTTGCCGAAGAGAGGACTGTTTTCCATGCCCAAAGTGGGGAAAGGAAAGCACAGAGGTGGCCAACCCTTGACCTGGCAGAGAGGTATGAAAGAAATCATGAAGTGTTTTGGTGCTGTCGGTGCTACTCACCTTCCAGGATGGGGACCACGTGATCCTCACTGGCCCTGGTTGGAGACGCCACAAGATATGGCTTCTAACCGATGTCAGTGGCGATCTTATCAGTTCCTATCCAGATTGCCTGAGTGCGTGTTTGGAAGTGTAGGCACCTCGGAATGATTGTAGTAAGCCAGCACTAAGTCCATTCCCGGTCCACCTTTATTCTTCTCTTCACAACAAGGGTTTCAATGAAATCATGGTTCTACGGCAGCGAAGCACCGGTGTTGAACACTGATGTCATGCTGTCGATGATGGTGATGATGATGATGATGCATCGAGTTGGGTTGTGGTTGCGGGGCATCTAGAAACTCTATAGCCTCATTAGGGATCAAGCGCATGGCAGAGGTCGTCTGGGTTGAAACGCAGGTAGAGGACACCTGCATCAGGTACATCTTTAGATATCTCACTCAAGTGAGGGTTACTATCCGATATCGGATCAGCAGGCTGCCGGTTGAGTAGGTTCTGATAGGTTTGCTCGAATTCTAGATCTACAGACTTCTCAATAGCCTTAGTTATGTGATCAGCAGGCTGCCGGTTGAGTAGATTCTGATAGGTTTGCTCGAATTCTAGATCTACAGACTTCTCAATAGCCATTAGTTATGTCCGTGTGTAGGCCTGAAAACCACGAAGAAAAGCAGCAACAAACAAATACACCATTGGAGTCCGCGGAGGTATTCTGGAAGGAGCTGCAGGCGGTGTTCGTACTGTGAAATACAAGAGAGAACCACCTCCTCTACAGGAGGGTCATAAGTAGCAGCTCAATCGTTGCGTTTTAAAATAATCAACCGAAGGACAGTAAGCAAGGTAGGAGACGATACACCGTTGGTTAATCAGCATGTGAACGTTCCTGTGGGAAAAAGTTAATGCTAGTATATAACAGAGATCTAATACACTGGAGAGCATTAAGAAAGACAACCTCCCAATATGTGGCAGGCAAGTTTCGTGATTTAGGAGTAAGATAGATGGTTTTCCAAATGGTGTTATCAAGTCGCTCCACTTGAACAGTGGATTGTGGATTATAGGCAATGGTGTGACTAATGGCAATTCCTTTATCGGACAAAAACTGTTTGAATTCAGTTGACATGGACGTAGAACCACGATCTGAATGAATGTAAGCGTGCATACTAAACACTGAGAACAGTTGACTCAAACAACGAATCACAATGAAAGAAAGAAAGAAGGAAAGAAAGAAAGAAAGTGTTCAGCTGTAGCACCCTTCCGGTGCCTAGCTGCCATGCCACCCGAAGGAAGCACGAGGGCTGGGATACTGCCAGGTTGCCCAAGCCTAGACAGGGGAAGTCGAGTGGCGGAGGTCGGATTCGAACCACGGACCTTCCGGTCAGTAAATTCGCGCTCTAACCACTTGGGCCGTCTCACAATGAAAGAGGACATATCTGCGCAAGGATAGGCAGAAGGGAATCGGCGCATGTGGAGCAGTTAGAGACTACGTGTTAGATATCGTTGATTGAAAAGGGAAAGGACGAAAGGAAAAAGAGGGGACAAAATGTGCAAATCTTGTGACCCCGGGATAGCGAAATATGTAGCAAAACTCGTAATGCACTACTAATGAGGTTGCTGAAAATTCTTCGGCAGCCCACGACCGATTTCGCCCTTCTTGAGGGTCATCAGGTAGGCGCAGTCCCGTCAACCTTGTGTTCTACTTGAAACCAAATCGCACGAAATTAGCGAAATACACTCGTTTGCAAACAAATGCGATTTTGCGAGAGACTCAATTGGAACCCAACTGAATCTCTCGTTTGTGATGTTCCCAGGCAACTGAATGTGCTGTACCAGGCCGCCTCATGTTTTAGTTGCTACGATCACACATCACAAACGAGAGATTCAGCTGGGTTTCAGGTGAGTCTCTCGCAAAACCAAATTTGTTTGCAAATGAGTGTACTTCGCTAATTTCGTGCAATTTGGTTTCAAGTAGAACATAAAGTTGAAGGAAACTCGGGGACTGCGCCTACCTGATGAATCCCAAGAAGGGCGAAATCGGTCGTGAGCTGTCAAAGAACTTTCGGCAACTTTACGAGTAGTGCATTACGAGTATGCATGTATCGCGGTATCTCGAATATCGTAGAAACTGAAACATGAGGCGACCTGGTGCAGTACATTCAGTTGCCTGGGAATATCACAAGTGAGAGATTCAGCTGGGTTCCAGGTGAGTCTCCCGCAAACCAGATCTGTTTGCAAATGAGTGTATTTCGCTAATGTAGTAAAAATCTTGAATTTTCTTCGTCCCAGCAATGTTGACACCAAGTTAAAGAGAAAAGACGTCGGCAACACGGTTGTCCACTCCTGATCTATGGACTATGTCGTAGTTGTACCCCACCAATTCGTCCAATCTTGTCATTCTATACTTTACTCTTTCGTTGGTTCTCTTACAAAAAAGCAACCGAAAGTTTAATCTGTATTCGGTATATAATATCGGCAAAGGGATACTGGCGTTATTTGCAGATTGCTTCAACGATAAAATATGCTTCCTGTGGAGTTCTATGGAGTTGGAAATTCTCACACAGGAGGGCACATTCTGGGTTAGGTTTGATAATGCCTTTAAAAAACTTGTAACCCAGAAGATCACTCCCTTCAGTTGTGAAGCTGCTTTTTGTGCCGTTCAAAATGATGTTATGCATTTTAGCAAAGTCAAGAAAGTGTCTAAGATTGCGGTCATATTATCGTTTTACCGCATACAGTAACGTCCCCAATGTAGGCGAATGTCTTGCACCTGTTCGACTTTGATGTTATTGTTCATCGTTCATCGGAAACATGCAACCCCCTTTGCCAACCCTAAAAGGAGTGCGCCAAAACTGGTATAGGTTCCTGCCAGCTTCGAATGCAGTAAACGGTTAAGGATAGGCATCACTATAGCCTATGACCATGTATCTCTCGTGGTTTTTAGTAAGCGTTACGAGGACTTGAGTGCCCCATGGAGTTCCTGATGTTTCAATTGTGTCATCGGTGAGCATTATTTATTATGAATTGTTCGTCTTCCGGTGTATGACGATGGGACTCCGGAGCGATCGGTTTGCAATTCGCAGCAAAAACAGTGAGTAAAGATGGGGATTTCACATACAGTTAAGGTGAGATGACAAGATGGGTTCAGTGGGAGGGATAAATAGAGCGCGGATTTACTGATCGGAAGGCCCGTGGTTCGAACCCAACCTCTATCTCGACTTCCCCCGTCTAGCTTGGGCAACCTGGCAGTATCCTATCCCTCGTGCTTTCTTCGGGTGACACGGCAGTTAGGCACCGAAAGGGTGGTACAGCTGAATGATTTTTTAGGGTGTCCCGTTGGCAACTGAATGGAATTTCAACTTTATCATGTAATCCCAAGAAGTCATGTCCGAGAAGGACGTCTGAAGAGGATCGAGAATAGACAAAGTTTGAACCGTTTATATGCAGCATATATGTTATCAATGACATAATGCAAAAAAATTCGGTGGAACGTGAATGTATCGTCGACGCCATCGTTATCACAGAAACATACGGAAATTGTTTCTAGTTATGAGCGCGTAGGACTGGCGAAGAACCGAAACCTCTGGAGCTGCCGGTATAAATAAGAGCCCGGAGCGCACCGCCGACGACCAAAACATACGTTGCAGTTTTGAACAGGCAGTTGGGAACAGCGGTACACAATAGGGTGAAGAGTGACGAGCTGGACTCACATGGTATCTCGAGGGTTTAGGTTTACAGACACGTTGAAACTACCCTGTTTTCCCATAACTTTTGCAACGGGTTCTTTAGCAGGACACTAGATACGGGGATGCTCGGCAACAGGCTTGCTGTGTGGCGGCGGCAGTCGTTGTTCCAACAGAGGACGAACGGGTAGGCAAATAATAAGTAACGGTATGTCCTTGTATGTAAGATTGTGATTGCTCTTGTGCAAGTCTGAGAGATCGTGCGGCCTCGCGAGCGTTGCCACAAGACAAACGATCGCTCAGCTGTAGCACACTTCCGGTGCCCAACCGCCATGCCACCCAAAAGAAGCGCGAGTGCTGGGATACTTCCAAGCTGAGTTGGAACCACGAACCATTCGGTCAATAAGTTCGCGCCCTAACCACTGAGGTACCTCAACCCTAAGGGCAGGCAGGAATAACTGTTGGGCGGTATTCCAAACGGACCTCATTTTAACACTCGCAGCCAGGTGCTGTTAGGGCCGAGAAGCCTACCCTACGCACGATTGGCAAAAAATTCGGGACAGATGCTGCTACGGGATCAGCCGACATCTGATTGGTCGAAAGATTAGACCAACAGCTAACCAGAACCCAGTGTAGGCCGAATGCAGGTTACCACCGGCGCATCCAGATGGCGTCAAAATTTTCAGAAAATTTTCCCCGCTTACACTATATATTTGAAGCACTGTACAAGTGCTCTTGACTTCATTTTGGGCGTTGTTATGCCTTGTGCACCTTGGTGGTTGTTTCTGATGTGAACGCTATCTTGGGAGGCTCAGACCAAGAACTAAGCTGAGAAGAATATCGTTACCAC